TTGTAATGGCACTAGAAGCACGAATCACAAAGGATTTCAGCTCCTTCCACGTCCCCTGTACTGGTCCTCAAAGAGGATCAAAAAGTAAAGCATAGTGTGCAATAAGGGCCTGGGAAGGGGGGGACAAACTCAACTTAGTAAGCATACTCAACCCTTCCTGGATATATTGACGGGCTGCGCCCGAGGACCCCCAACGTCCACGCAAAAGGCTGCGTTCCATAAGGCCGTGTTGGCGGAAATCTTCTGTGGCACCGCCTCTGCGTAAAGAGTAGGGCCTAAACGACATGGGCAGGTGAAAGAATTTCAACAGCTGTTTGAATTGGGTTCTGAAATCACTCGTGGAGCGATTCCAAAGTTTATTCTGCGTTCGCCCGAAAAGTTCCAAGACAGTACGACAAATGGCCACTGTACCTGGATGTTGAACGATCACATTCTCGTCAACCTGTCGGCGGACCCCAGTCTTAGTGTCCCCTAGCCGAACCACCAAGGTCTTACCTTTCAGGAGCAAATGCCGCAAGCGGAGCTCAAAAAGTTCGCCTGTTCTCAACATGCCCCAAAAACCTAGGCACAAGCACAAGGAAAATCTGAGGTCCTCAAGTTCCAGAGTTCGTCCCACTAGGGCCACTATGACTTCCAGCGGGAAAGGCGGAGCTTGTCGAGGTTTTTCTATTCTTCTCCAGATCCCATATAGTTTCCAGGCTGCCCGTATTTTCCCTTTGCACCAAGGGAGAAAGTGATGCAAGCCCGACAGTGTGTCAGCTACAGAAGATACTCCTGGTCGATCCACTCAACCAAGCAGTCTTCGATATCCTCTGATGTGCTTTCCAACAAAGGTAATATAGCCGTGACAGCCAGAAAATACCGAATACGGGTCTTAGTGGTGATGGCTCGATCCCTCAATGAGATCCCTCGCCGTTTGAGGCGTCGGCGGCGGCGCAGGACATCAGGCGCGAGACCCCTCATCGGTTGGGTTATCAGCCGAGTCAATGTGTGCTAAATACAACTGACCATGAGCCGCCAAAAGCACTGCATTAATTTTTCTCACAATGTAAGTGAGCTTGTGGCTCCCTGTCCTTCCTTTTGAAAGGATACTCAAACTGACGTATGAGTCTGTGAGGTGAAAAAGCCTGCGGTTTGTGATGGTCCGATTCAAAGCACGCCACAACAATGTGAGGTAGATTGCACGCAGCTCAAGAGCGTTTATGTGCTCTTCCCGCTCCCACCGAGTTTTAAAGACGTGGCTCCACTCCCACCAAACCGACCAGACGCTTTGACGGGGAAGAGTCTTTGGGTTCAACACCTGTCCTGTCGAAATCCGCACATCGCTACCAGTGTGTCGAGCTCTGGCCGCGAGATGCCGATTCATATCTTCGACGACATGGTGGGCATTGCATGTAGGGAATTCAACTCCTACCTGCAGGGGGCAAAGCAAAGGCAACCGGAGCCCACAGCCTGGGGGCAAACCCATACGACCAAACAGAACCTGCACATCAAAGAATTGTGTCCAATGATAAACCGCGGCCGCTGCAAACAATGAGAACGACCAAATGGAGAAGGAATCTCCTACCAAGGAACACCGTTCGTCCTCAAAAGCGGTCTTATTGCTCTTAGCCTTTGACGCCGCCATGCAAACTATTGTATGCTGATGACCGTATCCCATCAGTCTTTCACGCTCGCTCGCATTGAGCAGCCTGGCAGACGTCTGGTCGGGATGTGTCTGCAAAAATTGCCCTTTGTACTGGTAAGGAGGGAATCTATACTCATGTGAGCACCATCGACTGCGAGTCAAGTCATCTGTTCGTTCTAAGCCTGCTGGACGGGGAGGTGGTCTCTCTCGTCGAATCGCCTTCATGAACGTCGGGTAAACTGTCATAGGGTCATTCTGCACCCATCCAGGCTCTATCCACTGACTAGGAAGGGGCCACTCACCTTCCACCAGGACCTCGACAAATCCGTCCTTGGGAACGAGAGTCAGTCCTGGGAAACCGGTGAGATCCAGCGAAGTCCAACAAAAACGTGGCCTGGAGTTTGGGACCTGTTTCCGAGGATCCAACCTGTAAGGTTGCACTTCAAGCAAGCCACTGATCTGATCCCTCACCTCGTTATCCATGCTAGCGACATTTTCCACGAAAAATTGGAAATTCTTCTCAGGGAAGAGCTCTGCGCAGTCTCCAAAAACTCGGATGGCCTCATGAATAAGGCTGCTGGATGGACCACTCAGGTTTTGCCGGTTGGCCCGCACTGAACTTACATCAACACACGGAAAACCTGCCCAGAGATGAACAGCTTCAAAGTCCCCAACATCTTTGAGAAGCTCCAACAGAACATCCTTGGTCAGCGTCCGCACGTCTTCATGAAACACGGTCTCAGGCCACCTCCGGGCAACCACTCGATTCGCAGGAGCATGTACGTCACACGCTACCATGGCTTTCACTTTGACCCCCGCTATGTCATAGCAACGAGCAGCGCCTCCAATTCCGTTGAACAAAGAGATTACCACAACAGGGACACCCTCAGGAAGGTTTCCACGTTCTTGGGAGCAGAGGAAACTTGCACCAGCTGTAGTCAATGAGCGCCCAACTGCAACGGCTCCTCCTGTGAGACTAGCATCACTGCAGGTAGTTACCATGTCAACCTTTGCTCCCAGCCACGTATGGTACAACGGCAACCCTAGCAACGCTAGAAAAAGCTCATCTCGAGTAAATCTCTCTAGCCGAGGTTGAGGGCCTTGGCTTCCTAGCCACTCCCACACATCTGAGAAGTGAGCCATTGCCGGTCTCCGAAATTGCAGGATGAAACACCACCTTCCCATAATTACTTGAACCTTCTTACGGCTTAGTCCCTTTTGCCCCAACAGCCAAATCGTGCTCTTGCAGACCTTCACCAGCCTCTCAGCGCTTGCACCAAGCCATTGACCATTGCCTCCCACGAAGGCGCCCAGTTCCACTCCACTTTCTGCCGCAACCACCGACTTGCCAGGTGACACTACTATACCTGTTTCCTGCCAGATTGCCTCAGCATCCTGTTGCATACGGATCAGCTCTCCAGCCTCATCACTTTTCACCTTAGCTCCAGCCGCAAAGTTGTCTAAATAGACCTGCCACCATGGTTTTCCTTGCAACTGCCCTTCAGCCGCGCTGGCCAGAATCCAAGGGGGTAAAGCCGCAACCTTCGTAACCTGACCTGCCGGATCAAACCCCCCCTTCAAGAGAACATCTTCCGCAATGGACTGCATCACACCTACGGCAGACGACCAACCCATAGGGAGAACCCGGCACGCCAAATACCATCGTTCTCTTGGGTCAGAACTCTGAACCAGCGGTAACTCCGCAGCTGTGAACGACAAGTTGAACGCCAAGTACGATGACCAACACTCAGGCATAGCGAACAGGTAGAAGGCACAAGCCATATCACTTTGTGCAATGCGGATGGTCTCACCTTCGTCCACCACCACATTCAGCCACTGTGTAATACTTGGCAAGGCGGAGACTCTACCCGTGATCACACGTAGAATGGAATTGAAGGGAACCAGGTTCATAATCAACCTCAAGATCGTTTGCCCCTCTGGGAGCAGCTTTGACTTAGGGACCCCAAACATGCCGTTCAGAACTTTTTCACCTCGGTACTTGGCAACTTTGTTCTCAGGGATCCAACGACAAATACCTCGTCTCACAAGTTCCAAGGACAACGTCATCCTGTCTTCAGGCTCAACATGAATCTTACCTTGCAACCTAGGCAGCTCCTGTCCTACGTCAGGGGTGACACAGAGCTCCGGGTGCTCTAACAGCGTTCGCGTCCTACCATCCACCCAGTCTGTGGCCTGAATGGAACCCCCATGACCCTCAGGGGGCAGCCCAGGTATCACTCGCCTCAACGACAGGGGTTCCGCTTTGCACACCTCCTCTCCAGTGTAGCTCACTGAGCGTTTGTCAAAGTCCTCTCTAATAGCAGCATTAGTCCAGTCCACTTGCACATCGTCCTTCAAAAGCCGTTGGGCAGACAGTTCAATAGACAGCAGCAAATCCCTTTGAGCGGCCGTGGGCTTCCCCAGACCGCGCCCTGGTCTACCCAGGGCCATGTTGTTGTTAAATAACAAAATCAGCTCACACCAGCAGGGCAAAGCACAAGAAGAGATCAACTCACTTGAACAACGGATTTTATCAAAAGAATCAAATTCCGACAACACTCGAACCGCATCGGACCAAATCGACGGAAGCGGAAAAAGTTTGCGTTTGGGGAGAACTCCCCGTGATTGCTGGCACTCTTTTTCAGGCGCCAACAAGGCGCGAAGTCGGTTCAGCAGCTCTTCTCGAGCGGCTGCGGTGTCATTGAAGACGAAGAAATGCAGCCCCACTCCCAACTCGGCTACGGAGCCAGCGGAAGTGATCAGGGCGTCCCACCACTTCAAATCAGGTGGATGATCGAAGCTCAGGCCTCCTTGGCCTTCCCTTTCTCGTCGGTCTGGTCCTGCTCCTTGTTCCCCTGTTTCTGCCAGCCCCATTGCTGGTTCTTCCATGCTCCTCGGCCAGACCATGCGTTCTCCTTCGGCTTGCCCTTCTTTCCTTTTCCTTTGTTCTTCTCCTGCCAAGGCTCGGCTCTCTGCCAGCCCTGATCTCCTTTGCCTCTTGGTCGATTGCTGCCCTTGCCCTTCTTGTCGTCCGCGGCCGTGACCTTCTCCATCAAACGCCCAAACTTCCTGGCCGCCAGCGTTACTGCTGACCCGGCGGCGGTCTGGTGCTCTGGTGAATACAGTTCCAAGTGCCTTGCCGCTGACCAGCCTTGGTCCAGGCTCGCCTGCTCGAGGGCCAGCCATCTGGCCGCGAGGGCGTCCCCCAGTCGGGCGAGCCGCCCCACTCGAAGAAGGTCGATGCAATTTGCCAACAAGTACAACTCTCGCCCGTCTCGGGACTGTTGGTTCACCGTGTTGCTTTGGATCAGGTTGTGCCAGTAGGTCACCAACTTTGTCCCGTGAAGCAGGGGGACAGAACTTTCTCCCCCTGTGCCCAACTCGTTCAGGCGTTCTTCCACCTGTTCGACCAGTAGCGCAAGCACTGATCCCTCTTCGCGATCGCTTTTCATTTTGAGTGGGGGCAAGAGCTTCGTCTCGTCTCCTGACGAGTCCTTTTCCCTGTCGCTTGAATAGGAGGAATCGTCTCCAGTCGAATCGTCTGACCCGCCAGGATCTCCTCCCCCGTCCTTGTCGTCCTTCTTCTTCTTCTTTCTTTTGCGCTTTCCTCCCAACAGAGTCTGCAGCGCGGAAAGGGCTTTGTCCTTCTTGCCCCTTCTCTTCTTCTTCTTGTCTTTTCGCCCCCGAGCTGCAGCTGCTTGAAGGGCCAAACACGAAGCCACGCCTTTCTTGCTCAGCTTCTCGCTCGAGGGTCTCGAAATACCATCTTTTGGCCCCCCCCCCCGGGGCCATGCTCACCAGGGCCCGGCTCGGGCCAGCCCTGGCATGCGTCAATCCAAGCTTCGTTGAAGTCCTCAGCCTCTCCTGTACAGGTTCGGCATCGCCATCCTCCTCGTCGTCCAAGCGGCCTCCATCTGTGCCTCCAAGTCCACCAATCGCTGCCTCCTGTTGCTTGCGCTTGATCTTTTCCAACCTTCCCCGCAAGGCATCCATGCCAGCGGTCTCGGCCGGCGCGCCACCACCAGCCTCGACGTGAGGCCCGGCTGACCGCCTGGCCTTGGCTCCATCGCCCAAACCTTTGCCACGAGTGGCCTTGGGGCCTGTAGCACGCTTGGTAGTTCCCTTTGGGGGCTTGAGGGCCGACTTCCTTTCCTCTGGAGGCCCCACGTCTACCATCTCGGGCTCGTCCATGCCATCGTCTTGTCCCTCCAGGATTTTCTTCAAAATTCGCCTTCCTGAGGGGCTCATACGATGCTCTGGGAAAGTGCTTCCATCCCAGAGCTCCAACTTGTGGACGTGAAACGCCGAACCTTCTACCAGGCACGGACCAGCATTCAAGCAAATGTGAATGCTGCCAGCCCGTCGGTTGAACGTGGACGACAACCAACTCATTGCCTCGGGGTTGGTGCTTCCCAAGGCTCGTACGTGAAGCGTCAAGCTCCCATCTGCAGCCAGCTCTCGTGACAAGACCACGAAAGCTGCTTCGATGCCTTCTTGTCCATAAACCTCGCCGGGCAGTTCTGTAGTGATAACTTGTCCTCGACGAGGTGCAAAAAGGTTCCATCGGTCGAAGTTGCCCACTTCGTATTCTCCTAGCTCTGCGCCTGCAGCCTCCGGAAAAGCCGGGGCCGTCATCGCTTCTTTGGAGTTGGGGGCAGGCCAGGAATGGCCTCGTGCTTTGACTGGTTGGGGTCGAACTCAAAATGAGATCTATCCAAGCTCCGGTGCAACGGGACGAACGGATTGGCTTCCGCTCGATGCAAGCGCTTATGCTTGCGACCTGCCCGGTGCTTTGGCCTCCTCTTCCGAGACCTCTTCTTCTCTCCTTTTTCTTCTCCTCGATGATGTCGTCGTCGATGATGCTCCTGCCTTGGTCGCTTAGAACCTGCTGGTCGCTCTCGAGGGTCACGCACTTCCGACCTTCGATCCACAGGCACGGTGCTTGCACCAGCCTCCGGAGAGCGGTCCTTCTTTTCAGCCGGCCTTGGAGCGCTGGCCTTAGAAGCCAAGCCCTGCTCAGGCGTCCCCGGGGGGACAATGGTGGCCTCTGAAGCCTCCGACTCCTCCTCCTCTGACTCGACCTCGCCGCTTTCCTCTTCGACAGGTCCCTGGACCCCGCTGCCGCGAGCTCCAGTCTCGCTTTCCAGCTCCTCCTTCTTGAGCTGGCGTCGTGCCAACGGCGGCCGTTCGGCCGCGGGAGCCGAGGCTTCGCTAGGAAGCGCTCGGGCGTGCCCAGCCGAGGGAGCCGCACCCCGAGTCACTCGGAGCGCTCGCACTGTGCGTGCGGCGCTCACGAGGACGTCGGAGGCGACCACCCTCAGGCCCGGGTGGTGCCAGGCAAAGCCCAGCTCCGTGCCCAGCGCTTCCCACGCTGAACACGCGAGGCACCAGGTGTCAGCGTGCGCGGGCGACGCGCGCTTGCACCTGGCGCACAGGGACATCCCCCACCGCGAAGGACCTTTTGAGCCCGTGGCCAAAGATGCAAATCGTGCAACTTATCTCACCTAAAGGAAGATTTCATAGTCATACATAGATATTGTGATTATAAAATGTATTTATACGCAACATTATATTAACATATGTTGATGCTGGGCAAAAGGAATCTACCAAAAGCATCCAAAAGCTGGGTGTGTCTGGACAAAACGAAACCCAGTGAGATGGTGAAAAGCCCCATGGAACTGTCCACGAAGCAGGAGATAGAGCTCATGTCATTGGACAAATGTTAACTGAGTTGGCCTCACCCCCATGGCCTAGCCCAAGCACACAGAAAAGCAACCTCTTCTCTTCAACGATACTAATCCTCGAGATTTTGTTTTTGAACACCCCATGGTTTGTGGATGACGGCGTTAGTGCTCCGACGCCATGTCCGCGTGATTCGATCGACCGGATCCATACTGTCGGAAATCGGAAAACGGTTCGGATGATCCATTGCTCGGACCCCTCCGCCCGAGGCGTTGGGACGTGTTGAAGGCCCCGAAAGCAGTGGGAGGCCCGCTCGACCCGATCAGCGAAGCGGTGGGAGGACAGGGGAGGACAGGTTCGCCATGTGGGTGGTTTCGACGACACATCCGACGACAGTGACATCCCTTCACCCATGGCATCATGGGACGACTTAGGTCCAAAGGTGAGCATCTCGAAAACCTTGCTACGGCGCAGCGTCTTTCTCTGCTTGGTGATTTCGAACATCTATTGGGTCGGGAGTAGATGGCACAATGTCCCCGAGTTCCCTGGCATGTTGTTGTCATCCCTCATCTTTTCAAGACATCTTTGGGGGTTGTGCCATCTACTCTGATTTCAACATATGTAAACCATCGCACCAACGAATAAGAACCTCGGATCGGAATTCGTCGGTTACTCGGTGCACCGGCCATGCGAATCGACCGGTCGAGACCGGGCGTGCCATGTAAACCTTCTTCAAGCCGCAGCTCTCCAGCAGTAGAGGGCCCTCCACTTCTTCAGAGGGCGTCCCGAGTGAGTTCGGGCGACGAATTAGGGCGGCCATCCAGATCTTCGTTCGCACAACGATGATGAGTGCAGCGATGCTTCATCGGCAGCGATGCTTCCTGAAATGGACAAAACCTGTGGGTAGACACACGATGGCTGTCGTCTTTCGAGGGCGTGATGACGCTGGAGCCAGGAGAAGCTGGTCGTACAACAAAACGAACATGAGAAGAACATGCAACATGTCCCTGAGATTGAATAGAAACACACACAAAGAGGCAAGTGTCTATATCTACGTCAATGACCAGTGCGGACCTCTCATCCTTTCAGAAGCGTTTCAGCTGGCGATGTGAGCGCTCCGGACAGGGCCGAGTGAGACACCCGCATGTCCAAAGGCGGGGCGATTGCATCTATATACGCTGCGCTCTGTGGGGAAAACTACCAGGGCCCAGTGGATGATCGCTAATTTACTTTAAACATGTCAAGGCCACACACCAAACATCTGCAAAAGAATTAGGTCTATCCCATTGCCAGGGCTCGATGTTTTTTCTGGGGTCAGGTTGCAAAGGCCATGTTTCTTTCAAACAGTGATCGATGAGTAAGTCAGTTGCTGACTGGGACAGAGTCGCTCGCTTTCTTTCCTTGCCATGCTCGGCACCCCGGAGCCAGTTCGGGGTGGAAAAGGCCGACCAGAATTGAGCCACGATCTATCTTCAATGTGCCACATCCATACCCTCTTCATAGAGCATCGCATCACTATTTTAGTGACTTACAAACAAAATCCTTGAGGAAACCAACATATCTGATTTCCCACTGTTTTCCCATGAACTGATCTTAAGGGATTCTGCGTTCGGAAAATGTGAGGTTTTGGACCCGGTTGTCCTCTTTTGGCTTCCCGAAGCACCCCATTTTCGGCAGCACCATGTGTGAGAGAAGACGATATTTCACTTCCATGCGCACGCGGGCACGGGCATTGGAGCCTCGGAACTGCAGCGGCCGACCGTGCGTTTTTGAACGGTTTTAACGGCGCACCGTCCCCCCTCCGCTCCAAAAAACGAGTGCTTCGGACTGGATAGACACGAAGGAGACAAAGAAAAAGAAGCAAACCGGAGTGTGATGTACTCATAGTAACTATGAAGAATCATTATACATGTTCAAATAACAAATCACCTCCAGGAGGCGACAGGAGCCCTTTGGCAAATCGTGACAAATCGGACATGTGCCCTGAAAAGAAGACCAGACTATTCTAGCCACCTTCACAAAAGCCTTGCTGGAAAGGGGATGGGGCAAACCTTCTAGAGTAAGTGCAACAACAGAAAAAGGGCTCAAACCTCGCAAAAGTAAAATTTGATATAGAACTTACATTCTGAAACTGGATAGAAGGTACAAATTTTGACATACAAAGTCTAAGATCTCTTCACTGTTTTTTCGTCCCCGGTGCGCGGCATCCACAAATAAACAGGATCGGTCGCTTCATTCAAGGACCCAATTTAGCCCGAATATGCCCAAACATCATTCCGTCTCACCCTCAGCTCTTAAAACTCAAGCCTCACCTTTTTATCACGTAGACGAACACAATATATATGTTAGGAAATTCATGAACGACACTGACCTGGAATCGTTCGAATCTGCGCAACACCGTGGAACGGTGGATTTCGCAACACCATTAAGGCCCATGCCCCAGCTGCGCCAGGGAAATGGTTTCGAGCCATGACCTGCCAGGTGGGAAGAAACACCGGGGTCAGTTCGTTCGGTTTTGGCGGAGCAGGTATGCGTTTGGGAAAAATCAATTGTAACGGTTCAAGAACACGCAACCAGCATTTGGCCGAACTCTCCATGAAGGTGTCATTATGTTCATGAGGGATCATGAGGGTAGGTTCTTGAAGCTGAAACCTGATGTGTGATGTAAAAGATGAGTTCATGCAAATGTTGACATGATTCTGCCAAGGCGACAATCTCTTCAATGAGCATTGAGTGATCATTGGAGAGATGCGGTGAGCATATACACCTGCCAATGCTCGAGGAAACATTATAAGTTCCTGTCATCTGCGCGGTGATTCACAAGGCAAACAGATCGTTTCAAATCTGGCACGACACGCAAAGAGAAAGGTTGCTTGGCTGCTATGACAACTCCAAAGATGGAACGGAAAGACACAAGCTTCATTCAACGGTTTGCACCTGCTTAGTTAAGTACGGTGTTGGACGTAACCTGACTGTTTCCTGACCCATTTCTCATTGACACCCACGTAAGTGGTAGTTTCACGTCCATGTTAACTGGCGCCACACAATGCTTGGCTATGCTAAAGACACAACAGGACTTGCAACTACAAGTTCAAGCATCTCACTGGGCGACAACTCGCGTTTTCTCTGCATCAGTTTGCATACAGGCACGGTTACAGAACTCTTCTCCCTTCAAACTACTTGGAATGTCTGAAGTGATGACAACCAAATGAAAACCAGGTGAGCCACCTTGAAACCATGGGAAATCAACGAAATGACTGGCCGTGTAGGCGATCCATCGATGGAGACCTCCAACCCTTGGCCAAATAGGGTACATACAGGACCTTGAACACGTATGCACATGTGTATATACCTGGAACCCGTTTGACCTCAGTTTTGATAAGAAGACTAATATTTGGGGAGGTTTGTGGTCCCAAATAGAGGTCATTCAGGTCATTCAGGTTCTAGGTGTATATTGTGTATAGCACACTCATCGGATGGTCCGATCTGCGATGGTAGACGCTGGACACTCTCGGAACACCCCACAGGCTCTCGGAACAGTCACTAGGGAAGTCCAAAACTCGACAGAAAAGGACCCACCACGACGAGAATCCCAGCAGCTTCCGTTCGTCCGGGTGGCTGAAGAAGGACTCCCCCGGTCCACACCTCGAGGCTATGGAAGGTCCTGGTAACCTGAACACCAAACACTTCGCTTGGGCCGGGGGAAGCTTCTTCCAGACTTACCCACCCCCACGAATCCAGCACATCCAGGACGCCCACGCCGCCCACGCCGCCCAAAGCGAACCTGAGCGTGCAGCGCGCTGGTGCTCATGGCTCGACCCAGCGCTTGCACCTGGCCAGGTTTTCCGGGTTCGAAAAAGAGAACGGGCCGGAAGTGGTCGGAAGTGGGAATGGACACCCAACTCCTTCCTCCAAGAAGTGATTCAGCACCCCATCTTGTGACTCCTGGTCTGTTCACAAGATCTTCACCATATGTTGCTGCCCCCAAAAAATTGCGAACCTTTTCTGCCAATTCCATTCCTTTTTCGGTGCTTCTTCCGCGGTTCGGCACCACGGTCTGTTCAGCCCACCCAACGGACCGGAGGGCGAGCCGTTCGACCAGGCGAAGAAGAGGACCCCGAGCGAAGTGGACCCCGAAGCAACTGCAGGTTGCGACCGAATCCAAAAACCTCCGTCGTGAGGGTCAAAGCACATACGCGAGGATCCAATGAGCATTTGGTGGTCAAAACAAAGCCCTTCCAATGAAAACCGGATGAGTTGATGGACGTTCGTTCACAGAGCCTGGGGACGTTCACAGGTGCAGGCAGTGCACGCATGTCCCCCAACTAAGCACCCATCATCGTTTTCGTAAAGTTTCACCCCCTTGCGCTTGCTTTTGTCCATCAACAGTAGGATCCACATACCTCAGTCCTATGAAGATCCTCCATATCATACTCCTTCAGGATCCCATACACTCAAGGATCCGCATACCTCCAGTATCCTCCAGTCCTTTTGGGAGGTTCCTGTGGATCCTGGTTTCGTCTCAGGTCCGGTGATGGAGAGCAACTTCGGACTCCCCACCCCATGGGACTGAAAGAGATGCCGCCACACTGAGCTCCCTGGCACCACCCCAACTGACCTGGGTGGTTGAGCCCTTCAAACACCTAAAGAGACTCCAAGGAGTTCACCAAGTTGTGTGCGAATTGACAATGCAGGGGGGATGGTGATGCATTTTGCCACTTTCATTCATTTTGCCTATAGCTTCTTGTTACTAGTAGGAATGGCCTCCACCTTCACGCGCCTCCGCGTCCGGCCGCTGCATCCGGCCCCGGAAAATGCGGCCCCGAGGCATCCGACGGAACCCACCGCCGTCCGCGACCGCCGCACCCGTGTGACGTTGACGCGTTGCCCTGTGTAGGAGAGCCGCCTCGGGAGAGCCGATCTGGTGAGGGACGGCGACGGGGGGTGCATGACATAGGATCGATGTGTCATATGGGCAAGGCCAAGGAGAAAAGACAAACAGCGATGTTGTTACCGTTTCGCAAAAATAAAGAAAAAGAGGAACACCCACCCACTTCCGGTGCTCTTAACCTCATTGGAAGCCCGGCTTCATTTGGTCAACCCAACCCATTTCGATAAAGCGACCGCCATAAACAAAGCGATCCATGTGTTTTTTGCTTCTAGCCACTTTGGGCATTCAAACTCCAATTTTGTGGTCCCCAAATAGATAGAAACGGGGACCAAACGGTGTCCAATATATTTTCTATCCTTTTCTACGAACTTCTATCCATTTGGGGGGTCTATAGTCTATCAACCAATTCAGAAAAGGGTCCAAAGGGAAGGCGTGAACGAACGACCCTCGACCAGCGCGACGTCGACACCGCTTGCCGCCCAGGAGCGCCGGCTGAGCTTGCTGAGCACCAACTTGCACCGTGCGAGCCATCTGCGGCGATGCAGATGCGCCCGGCGCCATGCCCGGCGCCATGCCCGGCGCCATGCCCGGTGCCATGCCCGGCGCCATGCCCGTCGCCATGCCCGTCGCCATGCACGGCGCCATGCCCGTCGCTGGCATGGGCATAGGCATTGCAACATGTACCTGGAAGAAAGCAGCACCATCCAAAAGGCCAAGTTCAAGTCGGCTTTGAGGATAGCTGCTTCGAAAAGACTCCAACCAAAAAAAGGAATACACTCCCCAAAAACAAACATGTAAGTTGGACAGTAGCCTGAAAGACTACTACTTCCCTTTTCACATATGTTGATTTTTTGCAATTAGATATGATATAAGGAACAAATATGCTGCCTTCCGCTTCCAGTTATTCATGCCAGTGTCCCAACTATAATTATCATCCTCATTGCCATCGTAACCAATCAAGCACTCCCGGGTAGCTTTTTCATTTTCGACCCACCCACCCCACACAGCCAGTGGCCTGCAGAGGACTTCCGACCACACCCAGGCTGGCGGTGGGAAGAGTAGCTGCCGAGGCGTAGAGTGACCCGACCTCGTCGACTGCGCGGGACACGCGTTCGACCATGAGAGTAAGGCTGGAGAGAATCTCCGGGGCGATGGGTGTTGTGGGCAGAATCCAGTGGATTGGAGAGAATCCTGTGAATTGGTCTATGGTATAGATGTATAGTCTAGTTGATATAGATTGGCAATGGTATAGATGGGTAGATGGTATAGGCGAATTGGCAATGGTATTGGCAGCGGTTGCTAGATCTTGCTAGCCGAGTGAGGTGCAGTCTCAAGGACAAAGGCTCATGAAATCCCACAAAATCTGCCAACGAGAACTCTGGGTGTATCTGCAATTGGCGGTCAGCTCAACTCAACCCTCCACAGACCATCTGCGTCTTACTGTTGGTATTTCAGTGACAAATGTCCAAAAGAACACCTGGAAAAAGAAAAACCTCCCAACACCTGGAGCTTCGCAGTCACGACTTCGGCGAGTCACCACCAAGGACCGGTGGCGACGCCCAGGATCGAACGGATCCGCGAGTCGACCGTGTCGAGTGTCGAGGCAGTCGTGTGGCCTTGCACATCAACGGTGAGGGAGCTTCACGAACCAGCGCCTGGCGAGAGCGTTCGGGCGAGAGAACATCTGACTGGCTCCGGAAGGTGTTCAGGGCTCCGCCTGACTGGGTGGCAGTCTAAGGCCGGGCAAAAGAAGAACCTCCTCTCCAGTTCGATTGACCCAGTTTGGGCAACAAAAAATGGCTCTTTCTGACCCAGACTCCGCTCGACCTTTAAGCCTCTGGTTGTGGGGTCTCATCCACAGCCACCAGTCTTGATCCAGATCAAGAGCCCTAACAAAAGCTGACCTGGTATTGGGATGCTCAGGCGGATTCTTTCTTGGGCGACCATCCGCAGAAGTCTCAGCTCATGTCCTGTTCCGATGTCCTCCTTTTCTCCCAACGATCCTCCCCCCAGCCAACCCGAGCTGTCTCCGCTAGCTTGCAGCTCCAAACTCATCAGCACCTTCCTTGGCCAGGGTCTGGCTGGAATACCATAACTGGTTGGTGTTTTCAACCCACTTGAAAAATATTAGTCAGAGGGTCCAATCATCCCCAAGTAAGGGTTGAACATATAATCACCTAGATCATCACTCCATGCACTGAGTCCCTTAGTGGATCTCGGACACCCCCGCTCACCGAAGGTTTGCAGCGCACTCGGCGTTCACTTTTGTCACAGCTCCCCACCGCCCTCCCGGGCGGTGCTCGTCTTCAGCCGCGCGAGCAGCTGCGCGGCGTCCGCGAAGCCCTGCTGCGCTAGGTCGCTGAGGAGCTGCTCGGCGCGATACATGTGGAAGGGCGCGATGGGCACCGAGGCCTTCTCGGTGTTGGGGGGCGACCGGATTTTAAGAAGGCGCGAGCTGTGCAAAGAGAGAGGGAGAGAGAGAGAGATCTTCTGGTTCTTGAAGACCAAAACGTGTGAAATGAGTCTCATCAATGTCATCAATAATTCATCACGTGCTAACATGGGCATTGAATGAATTGGAATTCTCATTTGGATACAGCATATTAGTTGGAATGGATGTGACCTTCCATATACCTTCCTTTGACCCAAGGCACGGTGCCCAAGGCGGGTTTCCGCTTTCCAGGTGCGCCTTCTGCAGCTTCACGAACTGCACCAAGGAGGCCTTGCTCTGCATGCGCAGGAGCCAGGGCACCACCTCCTGGAGCGCCCGTTAGGTTCCGGAATCGCCTAGGTCGGGTATGTATCCCCTTAGACCATCATGGACCAGCTTCTTCAAAGTGACTGAACTCTGGAGTCCTTATAAGGTGATCCTTTACTGGCCTGCTTGCCGAAGCAACGAGGGGATCAAGTTTGGTCACTGGTTCGGAAGAACCAGGTCCAATTCCGTGGAACATCGGGAAAAGCGGAGGTCCAACAACTCTGTAAAGAGAGGGATGTCCAAGGGAGAGCCAGGATTCTGCTTCAGGGATGGTCCCGCAAATGGCCGGAGAAAAAGAATTCAAATAACTTTCAAGCTTCTCGAGATTGTTTAGGGGAGAATAGGGTTTAAGAGTACAGGTCATGAGCTGTGATCGATTCCCAGAGCCTTGCAGGCCCCACGAAGTTTGGGGGTCCCCATTCTGCTGAAGAGTGAGCCTCACCTTGCCATTTCTGCCAGGGTAGTTGGGATTCTGGATGTTCACCACGTCTTCCAAAAATAACCTCCTGATTGCAACATGATCCTTGTAGTTTCGAGACGTGCCTATGTTGCTTGCAAAGAAAAAGACGTGTCTAGGAAAACCAGGAAAAAGGTAAACATCTAAAATCCTTCTAAAGCTCATCAGCAATCCGACGATCAGCCATGAACTCCTGGACCCCCAAAGGAAAAACCAGCTCGAAAGACGACCTCGTTTAGAGCTAAGCCGCCAATGGCTCGAACCGCCGGACATCCAAATAGAAACTTCAACCGGACAAACACAAATTAGCCCAGCTGGAGACCCCAATAGCAAGACACAATCCGCGTATTAGTTTTGCAAGACCCCATAGCATGGCTATTGGGGAACAATCAAACAACAACAGATCTGGGTCAAACATCTTCGGCCCTGGAACACTCCACAGCTGGGACCATGTTTCCATCGAATGTCCGAAGAAGGCTACGAAGGACCGGTCGGCCAGCACTCTTTGCGGAAAAGGCACCTGGGACCTGCCTGTCGTGAAAGTGCATCTGAGCATCCATAAGAAACATTCATCCACTAAAAAGGCTGTCTTCTTGGGGTCTGTTGTCTGCATTCTGTAGCCCATTCTCTAAAACCTCACCGATTGCATCAGTACTTACCGCCTTCCCCTTCATCCCCTTGGCTGACAAGTCGTCCCCTCCTGCCAGCGCTTGGCACGTGCAAGTGGTTCGACCCACCTGAAGAAACGGCCACATCGTGGAGAACGGCGAGCGACGGCGAGAAACTCGCAGGGGCAAGGCGGAACCGCGAGGCGTGGGAGGCGGCCACTCCAGAACAACTGTTTTGGAAGAATGGAAATACCATGAAATACCAGGAACCCAGGAGTCACAAAGAGGTGCCTGGGCCTATTGGAGGGTGCGAACAGCACCCTGGAACAGCACCAACCCACTGGATGGGAGTATAATCAACCCACTCTTTGTGACTCCTAGAGCAGGATCTTTCATGTGGCTCATGGTCCACTTCCACTTCGGAACGCCGGCCTCACGTGGTCCACTTCGAAAGGACCGACGTGGGGGTTCATCGGTTCAACTCGTGTGGAGGACGGTTGCTTTGACCACGAATCTTCCACCAAAGCTGAGGCCTTTGATTGACCGGGGAGAGTACTTTGCCTGTTTCAGCCGAGGATGACATTCATGAGCGACATTCTTGTTCATAGCTTGTTGTGACTATAGTACTAATGCACTTGTTGTGACTGGCTTCATCCGTCCAGCTGTAAAGATCCAGACTCTCCACCGTGGACCTGGGTGGGACCCAGAAGTGGGTGCGGGAAAAAGGCTTCGGGGACAAGGAACATCCACCACGGTAAAACCACGACAAAGTACATGAGTTGGTTGCACAAGAACATATATGGTTGTTCTATTGTTCAATCGAGATCCAAATGAAAGAAGTGCGGGCTTGCCCATTGGAGAGACCCAGCAAAAGACCGAAGAAGTTGGCTGTCAGCCTATCAGCCTGCAAGAACTTCCTCCCAGCATCATCGAGCAAAAAAATAAGTTCTACTACACTATCTCTACACTCACTAAGATGGAAATTGAAAATCTTTTGTTTCTTGAGGTAAAAGGTCATCGTCCAAGAAAAAACAAGTTCCGCTTCCATCCGGAACCACCATTCAGAGTCTACTAGTAGTGTCAAAGAAACCTTTTCCCTTGGACGACCCTCCGAAAACTGCCGACGGTGGTGTTTAGTGCGTGCACTCCTCGCCTCTTCATGGCTTCCTCGTGGCCCATCCGCGCCGCGCGCTCGAGGAAGAGCTGGGCCAAGCTCTCATTGGCCAAGCGCTGTGGAGTCTCCTGGCGTCGATCTCCGGCGTCTCGTGCGCGAGCCATCCGGGTGACGCGGGGGGGGGCAGTCCGAAGCAGTCCGAAGTCCGAAGCCCGGCGAAGACGGAGTCCAAAAGGGCGGCCCGATACGCGAACTGTTTGTTTATGCTGAGGAAGAAGGCCTTGAGTTCAGATGGTTGTAGCCACTGTAGGTATGGCTCAGAAGCCAAGCCTTCTTTGGAGAGGCCGGAAGACAGAGAGATGGATGTTTGGGAGAATTTTGGGGTATTTGTTTTTTGGTTTGGGTCATATGATCTTGTGAAGGTCCAATAAGAACATCTGGCAACCCTGCCGACAGGAAGACGCAATGGACACCCAATTCTGGTCCTTGGTCGTGAACGGCATGCTTCACTTTTTGTGACTCGCCCAGAACGTGTGAGGTTCTCGTTGTCTGCGTCTCATAGTTGACATCCATTCAATACATTCGACTGCTTGCTGTGAGTAGCAAGCCAAAGAATTCAAGAACTCAACAAGATATGTGCCTTTTGAGGATGCTAATTCGGTCTTGTGCCCTAGAAGTCCAACCACCATGTGTATGTGATAGTCTTTACCAAACAACCATCGTTTTTACGAAGGATTCACACAGATCAACATAGATCAACCGTTGAACATGGTCGTTCACGAACTTCCGGTATCAGGAACACCTCATCCCCAAACGATCTTCAAGTACTTTGGGCTTCCCAAGCTCCTCCGTCTCCCAGACCGGGGGGACCCAAGCATCCGCATCTTCCCAGGCTGATCCTCCCAGACAACAACCTGCCTGAAGGACCATGGACACAAAACCATCCAAAACCGGGAAACACGGGCCGGTCTCCGATTGAAATCCACAAACCGCCGTTTCTCCGTTTCTCGTGTTGCGAATTCCAAGCAAAGCCGCCATGGCCGCGCGACGTAGGTGACGCCATCATCATCACCCGAATCGACCATCATCTACCCATTCTACAAAGGAGGACAGCGTCCTTCTTTAGCCAGGGACCCGCAACCACACCGCGCCCAAAAAAAAAGACTATAAAAAACCTATATCCCCACGCTGCGGACGGTTGGAGGCCATGGCCGCTCTTAAGACGATGGTGAATCGCGATGGGCTAGCTCGCTCGCTCGAGATGGGGCCACCTCACCTGGGAGTACATCAAATAGCTCTGGTGCATCGCCTCGACGGTGAAATCCGCCGCGCGCTCGAACCACTGCGTGGCCAGGTCCTCGGACGGAACGCACGGCGCATAGACGGCGGTGCAGCCCACCGCGCAGAGGTCGTGGCAACGCGTCTTCGTGCCAGGCAGAAGCAAGTAGAACATAGAAACATGACCTATAGCAAGATATATGCTGGATTCCAACAAGAAAACCCTCTGCCTGACGTAGAAAATATCCTTTCCAGAAGCGTCTGGCCC